CAGCCTTCTCCATCTCTTTGGAGGGTAGCTAAGTGATACTAATGCTTGTGTTTCCTAATATGTTCACTTTGCTAAATTCAGAATAGGCTGGACTTTTAAGAAGCAGAGAGAGATTTTCATATTTTCTCTTTACTGCACTTCTTTTAGAATGTATTTTGTAGAATTATAAACATTTCTTCATCAGATAGAGATATGGATGACTGCCCTTTTCAGTGTGATTCCCACTCAACCTCAAAATAATGCAAACACTTTCAAAAGGAGAAGCATATGGTTGGTTTTGCACGGGGGAATACTATGTAACAGGGAGAGGAAAAAGATTAAGAAGCATGAATACTGAAATTGCACTGTAGCAGTTTTACATGTCAGGATTAAGAAATTACAGAATCTGGGTGCTGAAAGGGTGTTTTTGGTGATGCTGCAGCTAATACAACAAATTTATGTGGTCTCCCACATGCACTAGGCAGCTGGCTCCAATTAAGATACTTTCCTTTCTTATAGGATAAAAACTGGGTATGTATCTAAAACAAGATGTAAGTCACTGAAGATTTTTAGAAGACCAAGGAAACTGTTCATGCAACCAGGTAAATGTGAAATTTTAAAAATAGCATTTTTAAAGATCTTATGCTTAAAACTATTATGCCAAATACAATTTCATTTCCATTAGGCAGATATTAACAGATTTAGAACACCATTTGCTTTTATTGTTGCAGATAAAAAAATCAAACATAAAATATAGTTTATGCTTGCAATTAAAAGAACGTAGTGGGCTAGGTGCCAGTGGCTCACGCCTGTAATCTCAGCACTTTGGGAGGCTAAGACAAGCAGATCACCTGAGGTCAGGAGTTTGAGACCAGCCTGGCCAACATGGCGAAACTCCATCTCTACTAAAAATACAAAAGTTAGCCAGGCGTGGTGGCGGGTGCCTGTAATCCTAGTACTTGGGAGGCTGAGGCAGAATTACTTGAACCCAGGAGGTAGAGGTTGTAGTGAGCCAAGATTATGTCACTACACTCCAGCCTAGGTAACAGAGTAAGACTGTCTCAAATTAAAAATGCTGCTCAAAGTAGTGAGATTCAGGGTATTTATAATACCAAGGTCAGAGACTTAATAGAGAATTTTTCAGAACCCAGAACCACAAACATGACTTTCTCAACCAATAGCACTTCTTTTTTGAGATAGTGCTATTTTTGGATGAAAAACATATTTTGTATAGTATAGCAAAGGGCTGTGTCTCTTAAATAGGCCCTTTTTATCCATAGGGAATATGTTCCAAGACCCCCAGTGGATGGCTGAAAGCCTAGATAGTACTGAACCCTATATATACTTTGTTATTTCCTTTTTTTTTTTGAGACGGAGTTTTGCTTTTGTTACCTAGGCTGGAGTGCAATGGCGTGATCTCGGCTCACTGCAACCTCCGCCTCCAGGGTTCAGGCAATTCTCCTGCCTCAGCCTCCTGAGTAACTGGGATTACAGGCACGCGCCACCATGCCCAGCTAATATATTTTTTTAAATTTTTATTAGAGACGGGGTTTCACCATGTTGACCAGGATGGTCTTGATCTCTTGACCTCGTGATCCACCCGCCTCGGCCTCCCAAAGTGCTGAGATTACAGGCTTGAGCCACCGCGCCCGGCCTCCTTTTTTTTTTTTTGAGACTGAGTTTTGCTCTTGTTGCCCAGGCTGGAGTGCAATGGTGCGATCTTGGCTCACTGCAACCTCTGTCTCCTGGGTTCAAGCGATTCTCCTGTCTCAGCCTCCTGAGTAGCTGGGATCACAGGCATCCGCCACCATGCCCGGCCAATTTTGTGTTTTTTACTAGAGATGGGGTTTCTCCATGTTGGCCAGGCTGGTCTTGAACTCCTGACCTCAGATGATCCACCCGCCTTGGCCTTCCAAAGTGCTGGGATTACAGGTGTGAGCCACTGCACCTAGCTACTTTGTTATTTCCTATAAATGCATATCTGTGATAAAGTTTTAATTTATAAATTAGGCATATAAAGAGATTAACAATAAATAAAGTAGAACACATAATATACTGTATAAAACATGAATGTGGTCTCTCTCAAAATAGCTTATATTGTACCTTGGAAAGCAAAAGTGTGGATAAGGGACTACTGTGTATCATTTTGTTTGATATTCAAGCCATGCAGGTGATATTATCAAAATTTTACAGCTGCAACTTAGACAAATCCAGACTTCGGAAGGATCAGCATAAAGGATCCTTCTACCACAAGTACAAAATATTGCAAAATGAAAAAGGGAAGACAGACCGAATGATCAGAAGTGTTCCTCAAAACTGATAATGTTAAATCATGTTAAGTAATTTCCTAGTTATTCGTATAGTGAAGTAGGGAGGTGGGTAAGACATAGGGAAGTTGGCTGGGTGTGGTCACTCATGCCCATAATCCCAGCACTTTGGGAGGCTAAGGCAGGCAGATCACTTGAGGTCAGGAGTTCAAGACCAGTCTGACCAACATGGTGAAACCCATCTCTACTAAAAATACAAAATTAGCCGGTCATGGTGGTGCATGCCTGTAATCCCAGCTACTCATGAGGCTGAGGCAGGACAATCACTTGAATGTGGGAGGTAAAGGTTGTGAGCCGAGATCGCACCATTGCACTCCAGCCTGGGCAACAAGAGCGAAACTCCCATCTCAAAATAAATAAATAAATAAAAGAAGTAGGGAAGTTAGGCCTTCTGAATTGATGTCCCTTCACTTTATGACAGTGTTAGTCACCTCTGCTATAAATATTGTACCATGTGTATCCAAGCAATGAGGGATAGGGCAGGAGAGAGGATAAGTCAGGTTCCAAAAGGAACAGTTAGAGGAAATTCCAGGTAGGGGGAAGAGATGAGAAGGAACTAGAGGAAAATGCAGAGATTCTGAAGATGTAGCTGACCACTGTAATTTCCCCCAACAAAAAGATTTTCAAAATCAGTGGTAATATAGGACTTAGTAACATAATTTGCTATACAATAACTTGGCTAGAATACAGTCCTTTGTATCTTAAAGAGTAAGAAATTTGGGGCAAAGGGGAGGTGACTAAGAGCCTAGAAAATTGTGGGCAATTTGTCTTTACTACCTTATTAATAAGTCAGGTCATTTTGAATCTTGTACTTAGAGCTTTATTTCCAAAACAGACAATTAAAAATTCTTATTTTTCCTTCAGTTTCTTCAAATGATTCTGAATCATACATGAGTGAAGAAAAAAAGGAAGAAGATTTACTAAATAAATTTATGCAATCAATGTCAATTGAAGAACAGGGAGAACATCTGATGTTAACTTGATAGTCTTGTCTTGTGTATTGAATTTGTGCCAAAGTTGAGGGTAAGGGGTTGTGAGTTGTGTCCTCTATGTTTAGGTTAGTATTGTTATTCCTTAAATCATTAAGTAATTTTGTTTTGTTCAGAAATTTTTACAACAATGTAACTGGTCTGATGTAGTTCCATGTACCAATGACATTTATGTAAGAAAATATACATGTAATATACTTGTACTTCTAGCTAGATATAATTAAAACTTTTCTTGCATTCAACACTGAATTACTTTTCTTTAAATCCGACAAATGCATTGTATAATTTTTTCTTTCTCTGTTCACAGTAAGTCCTAAAACAATATTGAAGTATCTTACAAGGGCCAGGCACAGTGGCTCACACCTGTAATCCCAGAACTTTGGGAGGTCGAGGTGGGTGGATCACAAGGTCAAGAGATTGAGACCATCCTGGCCAACATGGTGAAATCCCACCTCTACTAAAAATACAAAAATCAGCTCAGCATGGTGGTGTTGCCTGTAGTCCCAGCTACTTGGAAGGCTGAGGCAGAACTGCCTGGACCTGGGAGGTGGAGGTTTCAGTGAGCTGAGATTGCACCACTGCACTCCAGCCTGGCGACAGAGCGAAGGCTAAGGAAAGCTTTGATATATCCAGATACAGAATAGCATTTGATGGAGATAATGCTCTGACTTGCAAAGTAGGCGCTCAATAAATATTTGCTATTTGAATATAACTTCAAAATGTGAATACATATTTGCCCTATTATGAAATTGCCACATAAATACTTGGACTCTCAGACTAGATTAAGTTGGGAGTACTTACACTAACAAGAGGATTCTTTACATTATATATTACTCTAGCGTGCTTCCTTGCTAAACTTTTTTTTTTTTTGAAACAGAATTTCCCTCTTGTTGCCCAGGCTAGAGTGCAATGGTGTGAACTCTACTCACTGCAACCTCCACCTCCTGGGTTCAAGTGATTATCCTGCCTCAGCCTCCCGAGTAGCCTGGTTTACAGGCACATGCTACCATGGCAAATTTTGTGTTTTTTTTTTTGTTTGTTTTTGTTTTTGAGACGGAGTTTCGCTCTTGTTACCCAGGCTGGAGTGCAATGGCGCGATCTCGGCTCACTGCAACCTCCGCCTCCTGGGTTCAGGCAATTCTCCTGCCTCAGCCTCCTGAGTAGCTGGGATTACAGGCACGTGCCACCATGCCCAGCTAATTTTTTGTATTTTTAGTAGAGACGGGGTTTCACCATGTTGACCAGGATGGTCTCGATCTCTCGACCTCGTGATCCACCCGCCTCGGCCTCCCAAAGTGCTGGGATTACAGGCTTGAGCCACGGCGCCCGGCCAAATTTTGTATTTTTAGTAGAGAAAGGATTTCACCACATTGGCCAGGCTGGTCTTGAACTCCTGACTTCAAGATCTGCCCGCCTCGGCCTCCCAAAGTGCTGGGATTATGGATGTGAGCCTGGCCCCTAAACTTTTATTTTTAAAAATGTTATTAAACCTTGAAAAATGGGAGTAGCAACAGTTTGAAGAATCACTGCTAATTTAATGTCAATATGGTATATTATTTAGCAAATAAAATTTGAATTCAACATTATGACATAGTGTAAGAGAAAAGAGCTCTGAAAAGTCATCTACTTCTTCAATAGTTACATCTGTAGTTTCACTTGGTTTCTCATTTTTACGTTTTTTAAAATTAAACATCAGGTTATCAAGAAAGTATAAATGAAAGGTAATTGTTTATTACCGGAGAAGAGAAAAATGTATACAAGAAAGTCTAGATTCTTTCTCCACATGCACTACTTTTGGAATAAAGTTCCAAATACCAACTTTGAAGATATTTACAAGGATAAATTTTTCTTAACAAGTGACCAGTTACTGTGTCATGGACATTTTTTCATAGAATCCATATACTGTAAACTAAACGTATTCTTATAGTTTACAGGAAGCTTAGAGCAATTATGTATTAGCAGAGAAGATAGTATTATATTTTACTGCAAAATATTATAAAGGTGATACAATTTTGTGACTCGTAAACGTTTAATTACTTGATTTCAACAGGACAATGAAAAAAAAATCATCAAGACAGCCCTGGCTTTAAGATTTTTTGTATTCAATTCGTTCTACTTTCACATCATCTCCAATTAGCTGATACACATAGGTGACCACTGTAGAAGCCTGGATATCCATCAACACAAATGATGGAATAATGTTTCTAGAAGAAAAAACAAATAATGTCAGTGTTTTGTACCACAAAGCAGCAGCACATAAATTTAAGATGACAATTTGGATTCAAAGAGAAATCTGTTACATGTCACATGAACAGTTACCAAAAAAAAAACAAAAAACAAAAAACTACCAAAATGCCTAGATTTATCACATGTGGCCAGGAATAGTGGCTCACGCCTGCAATCCCAGCACTTTGGGAGGCCAAGGTGGGCGGATCACCTGAGGTCACGAGTTCGAGACCAGTCTGGCTAACATGGTGAAACCTTGTCTCTACCAAAATTACAAGAATTAGCCAGGCGTGGTGGTGGGTGCCTATAATCCTGGCTAATTGGGAGACTGAGGCACAACAATCACTTGAATCTGGGAGACAGAGGTGGTCATGAGCCAAGATCGTACCAATGCACTACAGCCTAGGTGACAGAGCAAGACTCTTGTCTCAAAAAGGTCACATTTATTTTTACCTTTGTTTTTTTGAGTGTCTCATTTTGTCACCCTGAATGGAGTACAGAGCCTCCAACATGGCTCACTGCAGTCTCAACCTCCTGGGCTCAAGTGATCATCCCACTCAGTCTTCTGAGTAGCTGGGATCACAGGCATGCACCACCACACCCAGCTAATTAAAAATTTTTTTTGTAGAGACAGGGTCTCACCATATTGTCTAGGCTGGTCTCAAAACTCCTGGGCTCAAGCAATTTGCTCCGGCCTCCCAAGTGCTGGTATTACAGGCATGAGCCACTGTGCCCAGACACACTTCTTTTAGGAAATGTCATACATGCAATTACTTTACTAAAGCCCCCTAATTCCCAAATTCTATACTACTCACGTTTCCAAGGCGTTATATGCCCCAGTGGCAGAACCTGGGTTAATGTAGAATTTATTTTCATGCTCAAATGCTTCAAATTTGTGTGTGTGTCCCGAGATAAGAATGTCCACGTCAAACTGCCTCTGCAACAGGGCTAAGCTGGCCATATCTCCCCAAGGAATAACTTGATGTCCATGGATCAGACCAATTTTGAACTGTCCAACAGTTACAACTTTCTGTTCTGGATAATTCAGATTCTAATGAAAGAAAGAGACATAAGAAAATATGTATTTTAGAGATGCTGGTATTTTATTTTATTTATTTACTTTTGAGACAGTTTTGCTCTTGTTACCCAGGCTGGAGTGCAATAGCGCGATCTCGGCTCACCGCAACCTCTGCCTCCTGGATTCAGGCAATTCTCCTGCCTTAGCCTCCTGAGTAGCTGGGATTACAGGCACACGCCACCATGCCCAGCTGATTTTTTGTATTTTTAGTAGAGACGGGGTTTCACCATGTTGACCAGGATGGTCTCAATCTCTTGACCTCGTGATCCACCCGCCTCAGACTCCCAAAGTGCTGGGATTACAGGCTTGAGCCACCGCACCCAGCCTGAGATGCTGCTATTTTAAAAATGTCAGTTTGCCTAAACGATCTCATACAATGTTTTGATGTAGTGCTCCATGACATACACATTTATAATTTTTTTTTTTTTTTTTGAGATGGAGTCTTGCTCTGTCTCCCAGGGCGGAGTGCAGTAGCAGGATCTCAGCTTATTGCAACCTCCGCCTCCCAGGTTCAAGCAATTCTCCTGCGTCAGCCTCCCAAGCAGCTGGGATTACAGGTGCCCACCACCAAGCACAGTTAATTAATTTTTTTGTATTGTTAGTAGAGACAAGAGTCTCACCATGTTGGCCAAGCTGGTTTTGAACTCCTGACCTCCAGTGACCCACCTGCCTTGGCCTCCCAAAGTTCTAGGATTACAGGTGTGAGCCACTGTGCCCAGTCCACATTTATAAATACTTTATTTCTTCTCAGTCTCTAAAGCTGCAACTATATTTAAAACATAACTTACTCATAAACTGGAATTTATCATGCAATCCCTTTACTGTGTTTATTTATAAAGAATATGGGTTCTTGGACGGGCGCGGTGGCTCACGCCTGTAATCCTAGCACTTTGGGAGGCTGAGGTGGGTGGATCACCTTAGGCCAGGAGTTCAAGACCAGCCTGGCCATCATGGTGAAACTCCATCTTAAAAAAAAAAAGAATATGGGTTTTTTTGTGCATGTTGTAAAGAATAATTATTCCCTGAAAACTTGTGATTTTCCTTTACCTGAGGCATGTAAGTTAAGGTGTGTTAAAATTATAGCTTAATATAGCCTTAATAGTTTAATAGTTTTATAGATGGCTTGAAATAATGAGAAATAATACTAATATAGTACTTAGTATGAGCCAGGCACTACTGTAGAGGTTTTACAAATACCAACTTAATACAAACAATCCTAGAAGGTTCTATTATGATTCCCACTTTATAGATGATGAAACAGGCACAAAGAGGTTGACTGTCCTTTCCTTTTATCTCCCCCATCTTTCACCTCCATGTCACCTTTAATTTATCCAAAACCAGTATGCTACTTCAGTTAGGTTTAAGGAACCCCATTAAAGAACACCAACCAAGTTTAATTTATGAAAAGCTTCTATATATTTCCAGAAAAACAAAAGAAAATTTTCAAAGTAGAATCAAGATTATGCGACATCATACAATGTTGGCACTGGCAGGTGTCTTAAAAATCATCCATTCCAGGCCTGGTGCAGTGGCTCACGCCTATAATCCCAGCACTTTGGGATGCCGAGGCAGGTGGATCACGAGGTCAAAAGATCGAGACCATACTGGCCAACATGGTAAAACTCCAGCTCTACTAAAAATAGAAAAATTAGCTGGGCATGGTGGTGTGTGCCTGTAGTCCCAGCTGCTCAGGAGGCTGAAGCAGGAGAACCACTTGAACCCAGGAGGCAGAGGTTGCAGTGAGCAGAGATCACGCCACTGCACTCCAGCCTGGCTACAGAGCAAGACTCCATCTCAAAATAAAGAAATCATCCATTTCAGCCATATTTACTAAGGATCAGAAAGGGGAAGTAATCTGCCAAAAATTCTATTATTAACTAAAGGGAACTCCAGAGCTCCTTTTTTTCTTTTTAAGATGAGGTTTCACCATGTTGGTCAGGCTGGTCCTGAATTTCCGACCTCAGGTGATCCGCCCACCTTGGCCTCCAAAGTGCTTGGATTACAGGCATGAGCCACCACGCCTGGCCTCCTTTTTTTCTTTAAAGTCAGGTTTATTGAGGCATAATTTACACACAGTAAAATCATACCTTTTTTTTTTTTTTTTTTTTGAGACGAAGTTTTGCTCTTGTTGCCCAGGCCGGAGTGCAGTGGTGCAATCTCAGCTCACTGCAACCTCCACCTCCCAGGTTCAAGTGATTCTCCTGCCTCAACTTCCCAAGTAGCTGGGATTACAGGCATGCACCACCATGCCTGGCTAATTTTGTATTTTTAGTAGAGATGGGGTTTCTTTCTCCATGTTGGTCAGGCTGGTCTTGAACTCCCAACCTCAGGTGATCTGCCTGCCTCGGCCTCCCAAAGTGCTGGGATTACAAGCGTGAGCCACCACGCCAGGCAAATCATACTTTTTCATGTATCATATGATGGGTTTTGACAAATGCACATGGCTGTATAAGCACTGCCACATGGAAGATACAGAGCAGCTCTATCACTTCTCCAAAACTCCCTCATCTCCTATAAAGTTAACCCTTGAGAAACGAAGCCACAGGAAGGTTGCCAGCAGAGAAGTAGTGTGATCTTACTTCACTTAAAAAGGATCACTCTGGTTGCTAGCTGGAGAATAAATTGTAAGGAGCAAGGGTAGAATTAGGAAGTTGGAATACAAGAAAATGATATGGTAGCTTGGAATAAAGTAGAAATAATGGCAGTGAAAAGTTCCTAACAAAAACTTTATAAACTTGGCTGGGCACAGTGGTTCATGTCTGTAATCCCAGCACTTTGGGAGGCTGAGGCGGGAGGATCACCTGAGGTCAAGAGTTTGAGACCAGCCTTGCCAATATGGCAAAACCCCATCTCTACTAAAAATACAAAAAAATTAGCTGGGCATGGTGGCACGCACCTATAATATCTCCGCTACTCAGGAGGTTAGGAAGGACAATCACTTGAACCTGAGGCGGAGGTTGCAGTGAGCCAAGATTGTGCCACTGTACTCCAGCCTGGGCGACAGAACAAGACTCCATCTCAAACAAAACAAAACAAAAACTTTATAAACTAAACGACAGCCAAAAACAGTAACAAAGCCACTTTTATTCAGATCTAATAAGAGTAAGTATTTAATATGTTTACTAGGTAGTCTAAATCAGTGATTTCCAAATAGTAAGGGAGGGGCATGAATTGTAATTTTACATTTGGAAAAGAAAAATGAAAAAAAAAAAAAAAGACCTTACCAGTTGAGAAATCTGGGTCTAATGATAAAGCATATGTAAGTAAGAATCAAGAACAAGAAATATTTGAGGAGGGAAAGGGAAATACATTATACATCACCTCATCGAAGTCTCCTCTCACAATATGAACATCACCAGCCAGAGTCTTGAGATAGTCATAACTCTCTTTGGTGCAAAGGTTTCCTGTGCAGAGAATGTGCTGAATTTTTCCTGGCACCAGGAGTTTTTTGAATTTAGCTGGCAAACTGTTGCACCGGTGTGGGATGTGCAGATCTCCTAATACCAACACCAACTTTAAAGTGTCAAGGTAAAATAAAGCATAATGTTAAACATAATGTAAAAACAAAATAGTCTCCAACTGTAAGCTCCCTTTTAAGTCTTAAAAGAGATCCCGAGATCCCACAGAACGAATTATTCATAAAATTCCTATCATGACTATTTAATCTCAGAAGCTGAATCTGTACATATTTTTCTTCAGGTTATCAGCTTTCAGATAGGTTTCATCATTGATTGTATCATGACAATTTAAACAGACTTACATATGGTAATGTACTTTGTTCTAAATCAATCTTATTTTGTTATAAACAGTTGTGTATATATAATACAGGTAATCATTCTATTTACCAAGAATGAAATCAAACAGTCTTTTTTTTTTTTTGAGACGGAGTTTCGCTCTTGTTACCCAGGCTGGAGTGCAATGGCGCAATCTCGGCTCACCGCAACCTCCGCCTCCTGGGTTCAGGCAATTCTCCTGCCTCAGCCTCCTGAGTAGCTGGGATTACAGGCATGCGCCACCATGCCCAGCTAATTTTTTTTTTTTTTTTGTATTTTAGTAGAGACGGGGTTTCACCATGTTGACCTGGATGGTCTCGATCTATTGACCTCGTGATCCACCCGCCTCGGCCTCCCAAAGTGCTGGGATTACAGGCTTGAGCCACCGCGCCCGGCGAAATCAAACATTCTAAAGTGATTTAGAGACCTATGAATACACTGAATTTTAAAAATTATAAAATGAAAAGTATACTACTGGGCCCTATGGAATGTGGCATTTTTAAAGACTGATATGGTAATTCATATTTCTGCAGTTGTAATATGAAAACGATTAATCCCAGAAACATTATTAAGGGGAATTGTTAATAGAGAAAAAATTTATTTCTGTAATTTATGTGTACCAGATTGACAACTATTTGGAATTATAATGGCGAAAATTTGGCATGTCTGTTACTTCAAACTATTGTATATCTCTGTATACATTACAGAGTTATACAAACAGCCTGTGTTTCAGTTTCATTAGGTAAAGGTGTACTTTTGCATTATTATCTTTGATGTCTTTACTTTCCTTGATATCTTTACTTTCCTTCATTATTAGAAGTCCTCACTGTCATATTTTTATGGTCTGGATTAAATTGCTCATGTACCCTTGGTGTAGTTACCCAACTTAAAAAAATAACTTTTCGTAATCTTTCATGTACACAAGAGCATTAAAACAAAAAAGAGATCAGCTAAATAAGTTATAAATTTAGCATAAGGTGGTTTAGAGTTGCAAATTAGTCTCAGATGACAAAAGAAAATTTTGCTATGAAATATAAAAGAATATAAACCCCAACCCTGTAAAATTTTATTATTTAAAAATTTCAAGAGTTGAGAAACAACATTAATTTAGCCATTTAACAGAATACTGTTAGAAACATCATTTAAAAATAGTATCTGTCTGGCCGAGTGCAGTGGCTCACACCTGTAATCTCGGCATATTGGGAGGCTGATGCAGGCAGATCATATGTGGTCAGGAGTTCGAGACCAGCCTGGCCAACATAGTGAAACCCTGTTTTTACTTTAAAAAAAAAAAAAAGAGAGAAAAAAAAGAAATACAAAAGTTAGCCGGGTGTGGTGGCAGGCGCCTGTTATCCCAGCTACTCAGCAGTCTGAGGCAGGAGAATCACTTGAACCCAGGAGTTAGAGGTTGCAGTGAGCTGAGATGGTGCCACTGGCACTCCAGCCTGGGTGACAGAGTAAGACTCTGTCTCAAAACAAAACAAAACAAAACAAAACAAAACAAAACAAAAAACTGTCCTCCAAAGGACAATGTAATCAATTTATGTTGATCAGTATAAGCACCTTCATTCTATACAAGATATTTTCCTTTACAGACATTCCATCCATAAATGTACATGCCCTTTAACTACTTTTAAAAGTTGTCTATTCTTTAATATTATCAAAGAAATAATTAAATAGCTAATAGGATAAAACAAAATAGTTTTGCGACCGCAGACTTTGTAAATGAAAATTAATTAAAAAAAACCCCAAATGTGTGAAATTAAAATTACTACCAAAAGAAGCTTGATTCATCTTGCAAAAAAAATTAAAACTATTGCAAAGAAAAGGAACTATTATCAGGACACAGAATTATCAAGACATAGCTTGTAATCTCAAAGTAACACAAGGTTATAAAATAAGCACACTTTAAATTGTTAAATAAGATTCTTCTTCATAAAGACGAGTTTCAGCAGGTATCTGTTCTATGCCTATATTATTTCAATGTAGATCTCAGTGGACAAACCCTCTGTAAAACTAAAAACCACTATGAAGTTTCCACCCTCACTGGTAATCAACATAAAAGTACCTGGATATAGAACAATCTTCATTTTAGAGGGGGATTCCTTCTGATATGGATTGAAGTACATAGTTAGTATGGGAAGCTGGGTTTGAGAAAAAGGTAAAAATAATAGATTTCTATATTTAAAAAAAGGAGAACAATAACAACCACCCCAAACTCATAAAAGAGTATACGTCTATAACAGGTTGAAAATATTTGGTACTAATAATGAATGAACTATTCAATCTGAATGTACCAGAAAGAACATTAATAAGAACATGAGTAAGACGTGGTACTTTATAATGATTGATGACCTAATTCTACAAAGTACTGTGGATTTTCCCCAAGTATACTCAAGACTATCAGCAATCTAAAGATACAATTGTATGAATCATCACACAGAAATGATTTCAAATTACTAGGGATCCTTACTAGGACAGAATCCTCTGGTTTCCTGCTGATGACAAAGTTATGGGGAAGTAGTGTCACAAAACATGTGTCATACTTTGAAGCATGTCCCTGCCCAAATTCCACACTTTGACAAATTGGGATAGACACAGATTAGAAAGTCCTTTAAGAAAGCAAAAGATCCAGGCCGGGCGCGGTGGCTCAAGCCTGTAATCCCAGCACTTTGGGAGGCCGAGGCGGGTGGATCACGAGGTCAAGAGATCGAGACCATCCTGGTCAACATGGTGAAACCCCGTCTCTACTAAAAATACAAAAAATCAGCTGGGCATGGTGGCGTGTGCCTGTAATCCCAGCTACTCAGGAGGCTGAGGCAGGAGAATTGCCTGAACCCAGGAGGCGGAGGTTGCGGTGAGCCGAGATCGCGCCATTGCACTCCAGCCTGGGTAATAAGAGCGAAACTCCGTCTCAAAAAAAAAAAAAAAAAAAAAAAAAAAAGAAAGCAAAAGATCCTGGCCAGGTGCGGTATCTCACATCTATAATCCCAGCACTTTGGGAGGCCAAGGCAGGAGAATCATGAGGCCATGAGTTCGGAACCAGCCTGACCAACATGGTGAAACCCCGTAATTAGGCTGGCGTGGTGGCACACCCCTGTAATCCCAGCTACTCAGGAGGCTGAGGAGGTAGAATTGCTTGAACCTGGGAGGCAGAGGATGCAGTGAGCCGAGATTGCACCACTGCACTGCAGTATGGGCTACAGAGTAAGACTCTGTCTCCAAAAAAAAAAAAAAAAAAAAAAAAAAGGGCTGGGTATGGTAGCTCATAATCCCAGCACTTCAGGAGGCCGACGTGGGCATATCATGAGGTCAGGAGATTGAGACCATCCTGGCCAACATGGTGAAACCCCATCTCTACTAAAATATAAAAAATTAGCCAGGCATGGTGGCGTGCACCTGTACTCCCAGCTATTCGGGAGGCTGAGGCAGGGGAATCGCTTCAACCTGGGAGGTGGAGGTTGCAGTGAGCCCAAATCGTACCATTGCATTCCAGCCTGGGCAACAGAGCAAAACTCCGTCTCAAAAAAAAGAAAAAAAAGATCCTGGAAATGGCAGTCTTATTAAATTCAAATAAAGAACCAACCCAATCAAAGCATGGAAATTCAGTTACTTCCTTTCAGCAGACTTTAAAAGGGTGAGAAATCCAGTCAGTAATCAGCCACCCAACCACCATTGTTAGTAGGAGCTAAGTGAAGAAACTTACTCTGTGCCCAGCCTTAGTGGAATGAAGAAGTTGATTGCAGACAGGGAGGGATGAAAAAAAAAAGGGTGAAACACGACCAATGTTAAAAGAAAGCAACGAAAAGAAACAAACAAAAAAGAACAAAAAACCCATTCCGAATGAGCAAACAATTGTTAATGATTTCTGAGTGTTATGAAAGAAAATGTTAAAAATCAGCTGTGCTCAAAACAATACCAAAAGAAACATTTGCCATATTTTTAAATACGACACACACACACTTTTTAATAAATTTGCTTTATCAATTTCTTCTACTTTTCCTAATCTTGTTCTGTATATTGACTTCCATCTCTTTTGTTTTCCATTCTGTTTAGATTTTTATAAGGTTTTATAAAATAATGAATTTAGATTTCTACAGATACTTCGGAAAATTTGTCAGTAATAGTTTAAAGGCTAACATTTTCTGGATTCTTAGGGTCTGTTCTCAAGTATACGGATTTTAATTATCATACATTCAAAATTCTAGTAGCTGGAAAATTATGCTGCAGCTGGGTGATTTTTTGTAGCTGATGCAACATAGCACCATGAATACATTATCAAGTGATGAACAAATCAACTAAAAGTGAAGAGAAAATAATAAAAACAAACACATTTATCCAGTTAAAACTGGAACTTTCCCACATCTGAATTTGCTGCCCACACTCTGGACACTGTACTGAGTGTTGAACATCTGTATCCTTTGCCAAGTAAAACGCTTTCAATCATAAAAGAATTAGCGTATGCTAAATTTTTTCCCAGTTCTATTTCATATGAAAAATGATGTTCCAGTACAACTACCCTAAATAACAGGGTTCACCTCTCAAAACAACTTGAGAAACATTAATATTTTGAAATCATGGCAAATAATTATGTCTTCTCCCATGGATAGGTGTCTCAAAATTACTGTAAACTGAATTACTTTAAATTGGAGTCTGTTTAGAAGCAAAAATTAAAAGTGAGAGTAAAGATTTTAAAGAAGCATGCACCAAAATCTTTGGCTGCCACATCTGTAAGTCTCCTCTTGAAAAGGCTGTGTGTCATGCAATAGTAATAATCTTAAAAATGCATGGCTTCTTTGGTTTCCTTGTAAAAAGAAAAAAGAATGCAATAAATGCTAATCAGAGACAAACGTCCCTCTACAGCCAAGCTCTATCAACACAAATATCAAGATATTCACAGCTCCATTTCAAATAACTGAAACGGAAATTGCCTTTTAGAGTCTAAGGCACCTTCGAAAATATGATTACATTTATTTTGTACAACAACTGAAATGGAAATTGCCTTTTAGAGTCATAGGCACCTTTGAAAATATGATTACATTTATTTTGTACAACAATTGAAATGGAAATTGCCTTTTAGTCAAAGGCATCTTTGAAAATACGATTACAGGCTGGGCACGGTGGCTCACACCTGTAATCCCAGCACTTCAGGAGGCGGAGGTGGGTGGATCACCTGAAGTCAGGATTTCGAGACCAGCCTGACCAACATGGTGAAACCCCGTCTCTACTAAAAATACAAAAATTTAGCCGGGTGTGGTGGCGGGTGCTTGTAATCTCAGGTACTCGGGAGGCTGAAGCAGGAGCTGGAGCTTGAACACGGGATGCGGAGGTTGCAGTGAGCCAAGATCGCGCCACTGTACTCCAGCCTGGACGACAGAGCGAGACTCCATTTCAACAACAACAACAACAAAAAGATGATTACAAATAGGAGTCCTTTCTTAGTGGAGGCCCCAACTTTTTAGGTGGGAAGGTCTGAGGGGTAGCAACCTACTGTGGGTGAAAGGGTGATTGCTTGAAGGTGCTACGGGAGACTAGGAAAGTCAACACCGGCACTCCCTCCAGAAAAATGTGTATATTCACAAAAATTTCCCAACAATTTCAAGTTCACAGATCATTAAGGAATCCTACCCTAAAGGGGTGTAGCAACCCGTGGAAAGCAGCAGTTCCAGCAACTGCAAGCGCCAAATCCCGCCCTCTGGGAGCACACCTGCTCCTCTCAATGGCTGCTGCGTGTTATTTCAGAGGCGAAGAGGGTCGTTTATTCCCTTTCCCTAAATGGCAAACTTAAACGGGTAAGGAATTCTGCTCGCTACTGCCCGTTCGGCATCCGAGAGGCCAGGTTCCGCCACATGGTGGGTGGTAACCACTACACCCCAAGTGGGAGGTACTTTTTGCGGGAAAGGAGTAGGAAACCTCTGGAAACGGGGGAGGACGGTGCCCCGTATCCCCGGAATGCTCGAGGTATGGGACCAAAGGCCTTCCCTGGCTCCGGCGTGCGGGTCTCGTGACATGTCGGGCAGCTTAGAGGGGTCTTTCTACCCCTTGGATGGCCTCTGGCCCCTTGGGGCCGGCATACGAGACCTAGGCCGGCCGCACCCAGAGGTGACCGCTCCCTTCCTTCCCTAGCCCACTTCCTGGGCCTTCCCCAGGCCAGCGCCTCGGCCCTGCCGCCGAGGCCTCCGGGATCTCCCAATCCCTCGCCCTGGGACTACCCGCAGCTCCCAACAACTCAGCATTCCAGCCGAGAGCCAAGCCTCGGTCGCCGCAGCTACAGCCCTCACCATCCTGTCACCAGGCTCCGCTCAAGTCACCACAACCGCCGCCGCCCTCTTCCTCAGGCTCCTCGGCGACCCGCCCACTTCGCCCGCAACCAATGAGAGCAGAGGTCGACAGAAACTGCCGTACGGGGGCTCGTAAGGGCTCTTCCCCGCCGTAAAGCGAACCTGCGCTTTGGGACCTCGGGGAGGCGGGGTGGTACGGTGGAGAGACCAGATCGCGAAGCTTTGAAAAGCGCGGGCCGCATCCGGGCACCTGGGTCGTCGAGCTGAGGCGCGCCTTTGGAGCCTGGTTCTTAGGACGGTTGGCAGCCATGCTGAAATGCGTGATGAGCGGCAGTCAAGCGAAAGGTTGGAGCGGCGTTTGTTGTCTTCCCATGTAGCAGAGAGAAAAGCAGACGTTAATAGGTGGTCCCTACCTATTAACGTCTAATTTTTCCTCTTTGCCTTTATGCACAAGGACTGAGGACACGTGCCGTGGCCACAGCCTCACTCACTCAAGGTCCTGTTAGCTTCTAAGTGGAGGATGAGCGCCCATCTCCCGTTACTTAAACGCAGATGTCATATGGGTGGTGTCCAGAAAATGCGGTGGGACCATCGCGCCGCAAACTCAGGATGCTGAGGACTGCATGGGGAGGAGCTGGGAGAAAAAAATAATGCTTGGACAGTAAAGTATTTTTGTGCCGAGAGAAAAGCATTAACTGTTTTGTTTGTTTGTTTGTTTGTTTCAAATTCTACTATTTTTGGAAAAGTCACTGAATCTCTTTTTGGCTTAGTTTCCAAAACGGAAGTGGGGGTAATGACCACACCTTTGTCACGGTTTGTTTGGAGGTAATGAAATGGAAATGCATGTAAAGAGCCCAGTGATAGATGGAATGGACAAGAACTATTAGTATTGTACACGGCACGTTCAAAATGGAAGTTTGGCCGGGCATGGTTGCTCACTCCTGGAATCCCAGCACTTTGGGAGGCCAAGGCGGGTGAATCACCTGAGGTCAGGAGTTCGAGACCAGCCTGGCCAACATGACGAACCCCTCCTCTCTACTAAAAATACAAAAGTTAGCCAGGCGCGGTGGTGGGTGCCTGTAATCCCGGCTGCTAAGGAGACTGAGGCGAGAGGATCCGCTTCAGCCAGGGAGGTCATGGCTGCAGTGAGCTGAGCTCGCACCACTGCACTCAGCCTGGGTGTCAGAGTGAGACTCTGTCTCAAAAACAAAAAAGAAACTCACAGCTAAAATCTCGGCACTTGCGAGGCTGAGGCTGGCGGATCTTGAGGTCAATAGATCGAAACCATCCTGGCCAACATGGCGAAATCCTGTCTCTACTAAAAAAAAAAAAAAAATTAGCCGGACGTGGCGGTGCATGCTTGTCCCAGCGACTCGGTAGGCTGAGGCAGAAGAATCGCTTGAAACAGGAGGCGGAGGTTGCAGTTAGCCGAGATTGTGCCATTTTGTGTGTGTGTGTGTGTGTGTGTGTGTGTGTGTGTGTGTGTGTGTGTGTGTGTGTCGGGGCTATCTGGTTTATTCAAAGTAGCTGTCAGAGGCCCAACTATGGAGCAGAAACCAATGAGTTGGGAGCTGTGGGGCTGAACAGCGCAGGGATGTCCAGGTATCAGAAGGTAAACGGAGAGGTCAGCTGAGCAGCCAGAGCAGGCCCAGGCTGAGCAGGACAGGACAGGTCGCCCAGGGCCCAGCCCCACTCATGGCCACAGCATAGAACCTCGCCATCTCCTTGTTGGGGTTGCCCTGGGCCGGGTCCAATCACATCTGGATGCAGCGGCCGCTCCCTTGGTTGTAGTTGCTGACCTTGAAGGAGTGACTCCAGATTTCATTGCACAGAGCAGTGGGTGTGGGTAAGTAGAAATGGAAAGGTAGGCAGGCAGCTCCCACCGCGCACTTGTTAGACCCTGATGTCCAATTCCAGCCCTTGTGCCACTTGCTCTTGCAGGTGTAGGAGGTCCCACAGTCTTTCCACCATTGTTCACAGTCCTCTTTGCACAGGGGCACGTCCAGTACCCGCTTTCTACACCAGCTCTGATCCACCTGCTGAATCCAGGGCCCCAAGTTGGGGGAGCACTCATAGAGGCAGGTGTCCTGGATGAAATGCAGTTTGCAGGCAGGTGCCGTCTCTCTGCAGTGGTTCCAGTTGAAGTTAAATAGGTAGGAAACATCCTTGTGGGCTTCCTGGCTGGTGTTGGTAGAACAGCAGGCATTCTTCCTCCAGGGACGACACTGGGAGAGGAGGTGGCTCTTGGTCTGGCTCAGGCTTCTCGAGATTGCGCCATTGCACTGCAGCCTGGTGACAGAGCAAGACTCTGTCTCAAAAAAAAAAAAAAAAAGAACATAAACAGTGTCCTACGGATCAGACTAGTGTATTTTCCAGCCCTAAATGTGTTTTGTGATGGGGAAGTCTGGCACATCAGAGATGAATGTTGAATAGCCATAATTTCTCTCTCATTATTTGTGGTGACTTCGCTGTCTATCGAGCTATTAAAACCACTTCAAATCATCTTCTCCATGTACTCTTTTCACAGTTTTGGGGGAGTGAAATACATTTATCTAAATCAAGTTGTAAAATATATCAGTATGGAAATTGGTTTGCCACAGTAACTCCATGCAACACTGTAAACATATAGAAGGAAGAATGTCAGTCAGTCTTATCATTTTTGACACTGCAAATTTATTGAGCGCTTACAATGTGTCTGGCATTTTGCCAAGGGTGTTATACTGTATTAAAGTGATGTAGTGAGTCTATAAGATACTGTTCTTTATGAATTCATCTTGAGTCCTCTGAGTGCTGAACTCGTTTTGTGATTTGTTGTTAGAAGAAAAGAATATAAGCATCACCTTTTTTTTTCTCCATAGTATTTGGGAAAGCAGTTCAAGCTCTATCACGAATTAGTGACCAGCTATGGCTAGATCCATCTAAAAAAGGTGTAAGTAAGAAAGTTAATAGACCATGTATTGAGGCAAGAGGAGATGTTTAAAGATCCCAATCCAGACTGAATGTTAACTAGGAAATCTAGAAATTATAATTATCCCCTTCACTGTTTATCTTTATTTTACATATCTGAATACATTTAGAGCATAGTAAAATGAAAATATGCAGAGAAACCTAATTCATTTAAACCAGAAGTCACAAACTGGTAGTCAAGAGACTAGATATGGTCTGCAGGAATGTTTTATTGGGCTGCACTGTGTTTTTTTTTCAATTTGAAATAATTTCCTTTTTTTTTTGAGACAGAGTTTCGCTCTTGTTACCCAGGCTGGAGTGAAATGGCGTGATCTCAGCTCACCGCAACCTCTGCCTCCTGGTTCAAGCAATTCTCCTGCCTCAGCCTCCCGAGTAGCTGGGATTATAGGCACGTGACACCATGCCCAGCAAATTTTTTGTATTTTTAGTAGAGACCATGTTGACCAGGATGGTCTCGATCTCTTGACCTCATGATCCACCCACCTCGGCCTCCCAAAGTGCTGGGATTACAGGCGTGAGCCACCGCGCCCGGCCTGAAATAATTTCTAATATTTAAAATTGAGAGTCGAATTTTTCCTGCTTCTCTTGAAAATTCAGAAGACCTGACAGTTTTGGGCCTGCATTCATTCCCAAGTGGAAGTAGCTGGCTGAAACTGAATAATGGTTTTCCCCTTTAGATATGATGTGAGACCACCAATATGCTGTAACTCCCTTATATATTGCCTTCTGCCATTTCACATATTAGAGTTAAGGCCCATGGCTGGGTGTGGTAGTTCGCAAATGTAATCCCAGCAGTTTGGGAGGCTGAGACGGGAGGATCACTTGAGCCCAGGAGTTTGAGACCAGCCTGAGCAACAAAACAAGACCCTACCTGTCTCTACAAAAAAATTTTAAAAAGTTAGTCGGGTGAGGTGTTGTGTGCCTGTAATCCTGGCTACTTGGGAGGCTGAGGAGGGAAGATCCATTGAGGTAAGGTGTTTGGAGGCTGCAGTGAGCTGTGATGGTACCATTGTACTCCAGCCTGGCTAACAGACTGTTTAAAAAAAAAAAAAAGTAAAAAGGAAATTAAAAGAATGTTAAGGCCCCTGTAGGCATTTACTATTTTATGTTTCCAACATGCAAACTTTCAGATTTAACAAACGTATGTATTCAATATAATAGATGTGTACACATATGTATATACATATGCAAATTCAATTCAGACTGTATGGGGCGGTCCATAATTAACATCCTTTGTTCCTATTTGAACACATTTAACCGTTAAACATAATGAAGTTTCCGGAATCAAGCTATTATTTAAAGAGAGTTTATTTTCCCCTAATTTTTTTTTAAATAAAAAAATAGAGGTAGGGTCTTAGTTATGTTGCCCAGACTGGTCTCAGACTCCTGGCTTCAAGTCATCCTCCTGTCTTGGATTCCCAAAGTGCTCAAATTACAGGTTCATGGGAGCCACCATGCCCAGCCTCTTCTAAATAGTTTTTATCTTATTTTTCTAGCTTGCTCTAAGATCTGTGAATTCTTCTCGGTCAGCATATGGATGTGTTCTGTTCTCTTCTGTGTTTTTTCAACATTATCAATGGTCAAATTTAGTGAAAATGAATGAAAATGAACATGACACAACATTGAATTTAAAATGCAAATTGGGAATGAAGGTAAATATAAGTGGCTCTGGTTTTCTCTTATTCTGTAGAAATATTCATTATGTAGGATATAACCTGTATTCTATACCTAATAGCTTAAATGGTATTCAGGACAAGTCTGTTCACTTATTATTTTTATTTATTTATTTATGGACGGAGTCTTGCTTTGTTACCCAGGCTAGAGTGCAGTGGCGTAATCTTGGCACTGCAACCTCCACCTCCTGGTTTCAAGTGATCTTGTGCCTCAGCTTCCCACGTAGCTGGGATTACAGACATTCACCACCATGCCCAGTTAATTTTTGTATTTTTAGTAGAGATGGGGTTTCACCATGTTGGCCAAGCTGGTCTTGAACTCCTGACCTCATGTGATCTGCCCACTTCATCCTCCCAATGTGCTGGGATTACAACCATGAGCCACCATGCCTGGCCAACTCTGTTCATTTATGAATGCATATAGTTTTGTTTTTAAAATGAATTGACCATGTTAAGTATGTGCTTAATATGTATATTTGTGTTACAGTCAATTTTGCCCATCTTTAGATGTCT